AATAATGACTGGCTGCCACTCTTGTACGTGCAGATCAACATCTCTAGCGGCAATCACATAACAAAGTGGTTTCGAAATCCCAGCAACAAAAAAATCCTTGTTCATTTCTGGTCTGCTCATTCGCGTCAAACCAAAAAAGCTATTGTAATATGTTTCGTACAGCTTCTAAAGCGTGTAGTGGGGCCGAAGAAATGAGGGAGTCATTGGCACTTGCGCGTGTGAGCAACTTCCAATGGATACCAAAAACGCTCACTACCTTACAAGGGAAATAGGTTGCTCGCACAGAAGGAGCTCCGAGCGCTGCAAGAAAAATCGCCTTCTCCCCTTCATCTCCGATGAAGTGAGCGTTACCATTCGGCGGTGTCTGAAGAGAACTGGCCTTGATAACTTTGTTATGATTGTAGAGACACCATCGAGTAACCTCAAGCGCATGCTTGTTCGGAACCGCATCTATGACCGCAATTCACCACACGAAACAGCGTTATCTGTCCGGGGGGAGGAGCGGAGATTGCATGCGTACAGGGGTCATCTACCTTATCTCACGCACGAGCTGCGGCGACCAGTATATAGGCGAAACCGCACACCCTCTATGTGTTCGCATCAACATTTCGAAGGTAGAGATAAGTCACGCCCATCCACTCCTTTGGGCATTCATAGAATGTAAAAACATGCGGAAGAATATTCTGAAGTGAACATCGAAATCTTAGCGCTGAAGCCAAAAACATCAGCACGCAAGACTTTGGAGGCATCTTCGATCCACAAAAAGTCCTCAAAATGAGTCGCAAAATGTCTTCTAATCACGCGGGAACTCTTTTCTTATCTGAGTCAACTCTTCTGACCTAGTGAAGGCACCATCAGTGTTCTGTCTACTTAATTAGTGAGAGGTCATTTTCTTTACTAGAGAAGGATCGATATAATCAAAGGGTCATTGTTCAGTCAGCAGTATCAATGATCCAACAATGTCTTAGAATTTCGTCTGTGGGGTTGAAACGTTTAATCGGGTAATTGCATTTCGTTTCACCCATTTCATGCTCTAAAGAAGGCGATCCCTCCGAAACATCAGCCAATAAATCTTTTAGCAATCTCGTGCGTGGCTGAGAAAATATATCAATAACATTTTTAGGAAGCGTTTCATTCGCATATGCGTTTTTTAGCCCGAGGTCGTCCAAGCCCGCATAGGCAGCATTCCAACCACCTATTCCATTTATCGTAGTCGGCCATGTTGCCGTCGTTGCTGGTAGACAACACTACTGCTTACGTGACTCCATAGTAGATATCCCTCATGACATCGTTGACAGCAACAATCCGTCGTGTGATCTTTCCTTCTTCTTCACCTAGCACTAAATAAAGGAGAGTCATTTGAACGCCAATTTCTTAAGAACTTTTTCTGGAGCAGATAACAGAACCGATCATGTGATCCAGCTAATATTGTTAATGTTAGAGACATAAATACAAAACAGATTGTTGCAAAAATGTGTAATTTTGCATGTTTTGGCATTAATGAGAAGACTGAATGAGAGCTTCTCAATAATCACGGTTCCAAAAAAGAAGATGAACCTTTTTATTATTTGAATTTGAAGAAATATGCTAAAATCGATTTTTTCTATCAACAGGTAAGTCTCTGAGCAAGCAGGGAATGTGCTGCACAGTTTTTTTGCCGAAAAACCAATCGATAATTTCCTTATATTTAATTTGGAGCTAATGAATAGAACAGAACTTTCTATGAAAGACATACTTACAGTTGTTTGGTCTTGCGAACGCGATAATCCTATCATAGGGTTGTGGCATGCAAAGAAATTTTTTGCCAAATGAGGCACCACCACTCTTTGTCCATCCATTTTCAAACGCTTCTTCATAACGCCTTCTAGCGTAATCAGCTAAATATGAATATTTGGTCAAGTGTAGGATTATAGGATTATAATAAGTCATGTATCTGAGTTATGGCCACTTTATGAACTCAAAAATTGCATCAAATCTGG